GTTTTAAGTTGTAGACTTATAAAAGTGCAAGATAGATTAGAAGTTAAAATGAATACGTCTGTATTAGGTATCTAAGTAAGTAGATCTGTAAAATGGCCAACTTACCTATATGAGGCCAGAGGCATAAAAATGCTTGACATAAGTAAGTGACCAAAGAATAACCCTATGCCACAAGATTACAGAAAAATGTGCCAATGGGTAGCATTGCAAAAAATTAACCATAAGAGTAATTTTGACTACAAAATACCTGGTAATCTCATTATTCCAACATGTGCCTTAACTGCAGGGTACATGTTAATCATAAATGCTATAGAAAAAACAGGGTACCCCCATATTCTTGGGGGGGGGGAAGGGTCAACACTTTCATGCACACAAATGACAAGATAAGACAGGGGTCTGAAGTTGAGTAAAATATGTTCTGAGAAAATTCCAACAGAAACCATCCCTCTACCAATGATCAAATTGGCAAGGCGCCCATTAAATTTTAGGACTATTGTGAAGAATGTGGATATAGCTATATTGGTAACTTGTTCATAGATCTTTATAAAATTTCTGTAAGTTTGGGTAATCATGGCCTTAACTGTAAATTTATTATTAAACCCTGTAGTTATAAATGTATGTGTGGTCACTATCCTTGGCCTTTCTGTGTTCCTATAATCTCTAAATCTAAAACAAGTAATAGAAGTAACTTTCACGCTGATGAACTTAAAAGTGTAGCCACCAAAGCCAAACCCACAATGATTTAACATAACAATACTAAATTCACTTTATAGAAAAGGCTACAGCATATAAAATAAATGAATAAATAAAAATAAAACTGGCCTTCCCTTTCACACATAGGACATCAATATATTCAAGTAAATATTTTCAAAGTATAAAACAAGTCATAAGGTTATCATAAAATGAAAAGTACTTCCCTCCCTACATATAGAAGCACTTTAAATACAGTGAGTGGCACAATTAATGTTTACAAGGCTAGCTATATTACTTTCTCTGATTCAAGCTTCTGCTTTAGGGGGAAAAAAGCTTGAATCACAAACACCTTGATCTATATTTTGAATTGACTTACAGTAATCATAATCAAGCTACCACATACCCTAAAACTGTAACTGTAAGCAATATTTGTAGTTTCCCATCATGACTCACCCTTTCAAGAGTCTATGAATTTTTCAAATGCATCATGAAGTTGTACATAAATGCAGGCTAAAATACATTTTGCTTGTTAGATTTTAAAGGTCTGATTTTAAGTATCTTTCCTAGATATTTAGTAAACAGTGGGATTATTTGCTGTCTCCAATGAGATGGCAGTTTCCCCAGCGTACTAGGACATTAAAAAGATTGTTAGCAAATTAAATCCAGAATCAAGTTTTCACTCATCATCACAAGGAGCTTCATTTACGTATTATCCAAGATACCTGCTTCACTAACCCATTCTCTTCCAGTATATTCTCTTCAATACCCATTAAACAGATTTTAGAGATGTGATTAAACTGTTTCTTCACAAAGAATGCCGGGAGGAAACAACTGAATTCTTTCGCCATTTCCTTTTAGTAGCTTGCTTTGCTGCTTTATTAACAGTCACTTCAATCTGTCATTTATTTACTCTACAATATTTTTTGTGTTAAAGAATCTATTATTTACATATCCCAAAGTGCCAGTTTTGTTTTTCAAACACACTTACATTTCTCTTTAGTTTCCAACAGTGCAACAAGTTTTTTTTTTCAAAAGCTCTATTTTAGCTGTCATTTTAAACAATCCATTATTCATCCACACTGATTCCAATATTTAGTTTTGCCCAACAGCACATTCTTTTTGAGCCAACTCTATGACCTCTTTCAACATTAGCCAATTTTCTCCCACTGTGCTTCCTGCCGAGAACATTGCCAACCTAGTGCACTGGTTTCATTCTTCATTTAACATATTTCACTTCTAAAAACTTTAATTTACCAGCAGTTTTATTAGAATAGCACAAAATATTCTCTGGGAAGTTCACATTCATAGTTAGCCTCTAGTTCAATGCACTGTTGAACCTCATTATTGTCATTCTTCATTATTTGTAGTACCTTAGTGCCTTCAAGCCCTACTCACAGACCAAAACCTCATTGTGCAAGGCACTGTAAAAATAGAAAAAAGATAGCCCCTATCCCTAGGAACTCACAATCTAAGTATAAGAAAACAGACAGTTATAGACGGATAGAGTCCCCGCTCCCCCAAAAAAGTGCCCAACTAGGTAATATTGGTCAACCCACAAAAGTTCAGAGAACGTGACTGAAGTTGCTCAATGCATGAGAAAAAACCTCCACTCTCCTTTCCCCAAATTATAAAATAAACCAGTCATAACTCTGTGATACCATTTTCCCTCCCACCTCTTGTCTTATTCTACTTATACTGTCAACTCCTATCTCTTACTAAGCATTTATACAACACCCATGCACAATGGGATCTGATCTTGACTGGGATCTCTAGATGCTACTTCATATAAACAAACAAACAGAGTACATTTACAATAATTTTAAGATAACAATTAATGTTAAGAATTAACCAATTGAATCAATGTGAACTAAAAGGAGTCAACATCAGCTAAGAATTCTGACTTTCCCATTATTCCAAGCACAAAGTTAAATCTGTTTTGGAGATACCCCATAATAAGAGAGCACTAACTATTTCTTTCGTACAACAAAACAATTTGTAAATTGGATTTTTTTCCCCTGGCTAGAGAAACACCACAAAGATAATGGGCATTATCAGATACCTTCATCTAATCAGACCCAAAAGGACACAACCAGCATGCAGGAGGCCCCCGCTTTACAACGGCCTGATTTACGACCTCCCACACTTACGACCCTTTCTGTAAGTGTGGAAGGGGCTGAACTCCCCAGACTCATGTCCTCGGCCCCGCATTTACAATGGCATACAAAGCCTGTCGAAAATGCGGGCTCGAGTCACAACACCCCCAACTTGCGACACTATCCCAGGAGCCAATCGCGTCACAAGTTGGCGGCAGCCTGTAAACTAAACAGATGATGTAAACAAAGCGTGCTGGTCTTGCTCAATGTAACGCCAACTATAGCTAAATGAAGTACCTTCATAAGGATGAAATGCTGTCTTTGCATGTACTATCTTACTAGCAACCTAAGAGATGCACTGGTTGCTGTACAATTCAAGGACTAGGTGGAAAAAAAGCACGCAGAATAGACAGAGAATACTGTTCAGCTATCAGTACTTTGCTGGTCATTGGGACACTCTAGAAAAGGCAGACGGCAACCTGTCATTTGAGGCACGTTATGAAAGAATTCTTTCCTGTTAATCAAAGCTGTACCAAAGAGAAGCAAGGAAAAACAGACAGATTATGCTGTCAATTTTAGATGTGATAATGTGCTTTGAGATAAAACATTCTTCTGCATGACAATTGAACAGATGGGATTTTTCACTTTATGTTAACTGGACCAATACCTAAAATATAATTGAAATGAAGCTAAAAGCTGTTTCTTTCTTCTAAAGAAGTAGACATGTTACCCAAGAAACATGTAACAATGTTGCAAAGATGATGTAGATATTATATCATTTTGTACATTTGTGCAAAACTTCTGTCTAACGGCTGATGAAACAGTAGATGTTTATGTGATTAGTACATCAGCATGACAGCAGATACATCATCATCTCTGGTGAAAAAAATCATTTAAGTAAGACTCCATTAAATTTTGGCATGTTGATTTTAGTCTACAGAGAAGAGATGCGCAATGACCACCTTTACATAAGGGTTGGTTGGGGGGTGGGGGGGAGGTAGGGAAGGGAGAGGAAAAAGGAATGAGAGAGCAGAAAACCACTGTTGCTATGGATGGACTGAAATATAGTCAATCATTATCTCATATCCAAGCTCTTACTATGTCTTGTAACTTCCAACTCTGTTGTTTCTCTAACATCCATTTTTCCTCCACCATCCTAATTACTAATTCCCTGATCTGATTAATGTCTTTGTCATCTCTTGCCTTGATTGCTTTAGCATGTCTTTTTTTAAACCTAAGACCTCTTGTAATACATCAAAACTGCTGCTCCGAAAATCATATTCTTTTCCTACATAAACCACATTTTCCCCTCCTTAAACTCCATCACTGCCTTCCTCTTTTCTCTTCTATATCAAGTTAGTCATCTCACCTTTACATTCAAAGCTGTGCACAATTCTGCCTCCCGTGATTCCTCCATCTCACCAACTCTCATCTCTTTTATTCCATCCTGTACCTTGCACCCCAGCTAATCATTTTTTCTTGTTTCCTTTGCATCCTGCAACTGTGTACCTCTTTTTATGCCACACCAAAGTCAGAACAGCTTCCTTTTTCTCATGCATGCACCAAGTGACGTATGTCTTCTCTTCAAATTCTTTCCTAATTCACTCTTGGCGTCACCTTTCAACCTTTTTTTTCTGGTTCCATCCCATTTTTGTGCATTATTTGTTTGAATTACATCAGAACTGGATGCTTAGCTCTTCAGAACAGGGATTATGAAGCAGGTTTTTTAAGAGGTATATACATTTATGGCTCTCCTTCACAATAATGTAATTGTTTTAATAAAGCTAAGAGGAGGATAGTTAGGTCTGAAAGAATGAACATGCCATTAGGAGTCAGGATTCCCTAGCTCTATTCCTGATTCTGCCACTGCCTCACTGTGTAGCTCTGGGCAAAAATCACTTCACTCTCAGTTTAGTCAACTGTAACATGACAAAAGTTACTCTGACTTGTGACAATTAACTAATTACCTAGACAATTAACCTGTATAATGTTTCCAGTATGCAAAGCACTATATATTACTAAGTTAGTTTTGAGCCAATGTGAAAAGTAATTCTGAATGACCAGGGGAGTGAAGCGGACAGACGGCTGCAGACAGGGGAGTTTAAGAGGGAGAGCAAGAGATCCCGCCACTGAACAGGCTACCAGGTGAAAGTACTAGCTTTTAGAGTGAGTTTCCTCAACTGTCTGACCTTTTAATTTTGATTCTAATTTCAGGTGATTTCGGTTTCAGTTACTGTAGGGGTAAACTGAGGCAGTCCATGGTATCTTGCTGAGAACTGACAACTCAAATCCTAAATCATTAGACAAGCCTAGGAATACAGCACAGCAGTTAACTTGACCCTGGTCACCCTGACAACCACATTCTAAAAGGGCTTCACTTTGATAAGGTCGGTACCAAACAACCAAAAAACCACACGGGATTGTTTTTCATGATCTGCTTTATTCCTAGAAAATAAGCTTGTATCCCAAAGGTCGCTCCAAGGCAATGCCACCCCCACAGTAGACGCATTATATTTCCGGACAACAAAATGACCATCAACATGCCTTTGTTTATGTTGGCTTATTTAGCTTGTTAGGAATAATTATTTGTATTAGTGATAACATGTTAAATTGGCGATGGGTGGGGATCCTGTGTAACCTTCATAGTTCATTGGCCTATGTGCACATCTCATTTCCACCGCTAGACCTATCAAATCACTTCCCCTCCGCCCATCTGCTGCCTATATAATCTAATGTATGTTTTGGTTAAGTCAGTGCTCACTAGGTTAACCCCTGATGGGTACTCCACCAGCTGTGTAAACCAATAAATCCTCTGCTTGTTTTCACCTGCACCCAGTGTGTCCAGAATTATTCCCTACAGTTACTGTGGCAGTTGGGATTGATTGTCTAGGAGTGTTTAATCCTTTGTTCCCTTGATTGCCTTTGATCAGCCTCATGCTCAGCCTTCCCCTGTATGACTACGGATTGGGCATGCCTGACCTAGATGAGCAGGCTTTAAAAGCCACTGGCAGAGTGACCACAGGAGCGAAGCAGACAAGGGGCTACACACAGGGGAGCTTAAGAGGGAATTGAAAGAGGGAGGCCTACTATGGTCAGGAAGACCCGCAACACTTGTGTCAGCACTGCTTCTGTCTCCTCAGCCTGCACCTGTAGCCAAACAGAGCACCTGACCATGGATGCCTCTACCCAGATCCTGGTGTGGTTTTACAGGGACTCTGGCTTGAAATTCCCACTTACTAATATCCAGGCTGGGAGGACCATCCAGTGTGAAAGGTGCCTGCTGGTGGAAACTTTCAGGAAGCAGGTGAGAGCTACAGAAGGAGGTGGCTAAGGTGAGGAGCATCTGAATCCCGAGAAATTCCTGGACAGTATTCATGTCGAGATAGCTGATGTAGCTGTCCCAATACACAAGCCTGCTGGTGGAAGAGGAGATGGCTCAGGGGGAAACTGGCAGCTAGTAACTTCTGGCAACAGGCAGTGCTCCACCCCTGCTCCCAACGTAGTATTAGGAAACCATGATGCTCTTCTTGATACAGGAGATAAGGAATCACCCCCTACAGCTGAGGAGCAGAAGCCTTGTACCCCTAAGGCTGGGAGGTCTGCTGCCACCACTGCGAGGAAGAAACATAGGGTATTGGTGGTCAGAGACTCTCTTCTGAGGGGGACGGAGGCACCCATCTGTTGCCCTGACATGTCATCTCTGGAGATATGCTGCTTGCCGGGGGCCCATATCCAAGACGTTACAGAAGCATTATCAAGGATTATCCGGCCCTCAGGCTACTACCCCATGGTACTCATCCATGTGGACACTAATGATACTGCAAGGTGTGACACTGAGAGGATCAAGAGCGACTACAGGGCTCTGGAGGTAGGGGTGAAGGAGTTTGGCATGTAGGTGGTATTCTCTTCAGTCCTTCCTGTCAAAGGTAGGGGCCCAGGCAGAGACAGGTACATCCTGAAGGTGAACGCCTGGCTGCGAAGATGGTGTCACCAAGAGGGGTTTGGCTTCCTCGACCACGGGATGCTATTCCAGGAAAGACTGCTAAGAAGGGATGGGGTTCACCTTTTGAGGAAGGGGAGAACCATATCTGGACGCAGACTGGCTAACTTAGTGAGGAAGGCTTTAAATTAGGTTAGACTGAGACAGGTGACCAAAGCCCACAGGTAAGTGAAGAACATGGAGACCTAGGAGATGGGTCGGAAATGGGAGAGAGCGTGAGCCATAATAGCAAAGAAAAAGGAGGGACAAGGCAGAACTGGGAGGCAAGATCAAATCAGTATCTTAGATGCCTATATACAAATACAAGAAGTATGGGTAATAAGCAGGAAGAACTTGAAGTGCTAATAAATAAACACAACTATGACGTAGTTGGTATCACAGAGACCAGGTGGGATAATACAGATGATTAGAATATTGGTATAGAAGGATACAGTTTACTCAGGAAGGATAGGTGGGGAAAAAAGAGAGGAGGTGTTGCCTTATATATTTAAAATGTATGCACTTGGAGTGAGCTGGAGATGGTTGTAGGGGACAGACTTGTTGAGAGTCTCCGGGGTAGGTTAAAATGGGTGAAAAACAAGGGTGATGTCATGCTAGGGGTGTATTACAGATCACCTACCCAAGCAGATGAGGTGGATGAGGCTTTTTTTAAACAACGAAATCATCCAAAGTGCAGGCTTTGGTGGTGATGGGGGACCTCAACTATCCAGACATATGTTGACAGACTAACACAGCAGGGCACAGACTATCCAATAAGTACTTGGACTGCACTGAAGACAACTTTTTATTTCAGAAGGTTGAAAACGCTACTGGGGGGGAAGCTGTTCTAGATTTGATTTTAACAAATAGGGAGGAACTGTTTAAGAATTTGAAAGTGGAAGGCAATTTGAGTGAAAGTCATCATGAAATCATAGAGTTCATGATCCTGAGGAATGGTAGAAGGGAGAAGTGCAAAATAGATGGATTTCAGGAAGGCAGATTTTGGTAACCTGAGAAAGCTGGTAGGCACGGTCCCATGGGAAGCAAGACTAAGGGGAAAAACAACAGAAGAGAGTTGGCAGTTTTTCAAAGGGACATTATTAAAGGCCCAAAAGCAAGCTATTCCGCTGCATAGGAAAGATAGAAAGTATGACAAAAGACCGCCTTGGCTTAACCAGGAGAACTTGATCTAAAAATCAAAAGGAGTCATAAAATGTGGAAATGAGGATAAATTACAAAGGATGAATGTAAGCTAACACCACAGGAATGTAGGGGCAATATTGGAAAGGCAAAGGCACAAATCGAGCTCAAACTAGCTACAGACATAAAGGGAAACAAGACAACATTCTATAAATATATTAGGAGGAAGACCAAAAGACAGGGTAGGCCCACTGCAGTCTAGACGTACCCTAAGTGTGTTGGGGGGGAGGGGCGGGGAAGGTGGGAAGAAGTTACCAGTTAAGCTGCAAGGAACAGTTTTGTAGCCACCAGCCAACAGAAACTGTTACACAGTTACACTCTACATAAGTCCTCTAAATATTTCCAGCATCCATAGTGCAGAATAGTTCTTAGTCCAGTGAAGAGTGAGATACATTTTTTTAAACTGTATGCAGACTTATCAACATTTTGAATTATCAACAGTACTGAAGTATACATTCAACCCTATAGATCACCGTTCTTTGGAGGTTTTTGAACAGTAAAGAAGACCCACAATTTTTAATGCCTTGTAGCATCTGATTGTAGCAATAGTTCTAGAAATATGCAATTATAAAGTGTTTTGCAACAAATGTTTTTCCCTGATGCTGTTGCCTCTTGGCATTCTGGATTACTTGAACAGCAAAACCAGATATCAAATTCTGTAATTAAAATTAAATTAAGTGTAAGGAGGAAAAGCAAATACTAAAATAACCGAACAAATGCCCAAACAATTGTTGTTCATCACTACTGTAATATTGAAAATAGTATTAATATGGGGGAGCATTCACTAATGTTACAGGAAGCAGTGTTTTAAAATAGAAATAAATCCTCTTACATAAAACTATTTGCAAGGCATACATTTTTTTCCCCTACTTTGGCGTTCTGCCTCCTTTCATCCCTTTTTCCTTCAAGTAAGGGACAAAAGTGCAGACATTTTAAGAAATGCTGTTATTTCAGGGTCTGAAAAAAATTCTCAGCGACAGTAATTCTCTATCCTCTCCTCACAAGATAGTCACTTCATTATTTTTTCCTCCTTTCTCTTTCCTTCCTCTGAGTGAGCCTTGTCTCTTTTCACTTTCCTTTTCTCCTTGCTGATTCCTCTGCTCCCTCTCTTTTATATTACAGGTTGGACCTCCCTGCTCCAGCACCTTTAGGACCTAACAGGTCCTGAATGAGGGAATTTGCTCCACCAGGGGAGGTCCCTGCCACCAGTCTCCCAGATACTGCCCCTCCCTTCTGCCAGGCTCTGCTTCAGCCCCACTGCCACTGGGCTCCAGCCCTACTGCTACAGGGCTTGGGCTTGGTGTGCTGCTGCCAACCGGCTGGGGCTCTTCAGGGATGGAGCTCCCCAGTTGCCGAGGCCCAGCTTCTGCCCCACCTGGCCAAGGCTTCTTGGGGACGGGGCTCCGCAGCTGCCCTGCTGCTGCTGCACCTTGCAGGCTTCCCGGAGACAGGGCTCACCAGCTGCTGGTGGCCTACCTGCTCCATGGCTGCCCCATTGCTGCTATGCTGGAATGGGGCTCCATGGAGATGGGGCTCACCGATCCCACTACTGCTCTGCCTGGCCAGGGCTTCCCGGGAATGGTGCTCCACAGTGGCCCCACCGCTGCTGCACCAGGACGCGGCACCACAGGGACACGGCTCACTGGTCCAGATGCTGTCCTGCCTGGCTGGGGCTCTCCAGGGACAGGGCTCACCAGTCTGATGGTGGGGCTCCCCTCTACTGGACTCTCTGACTGGCTTTCATTCCCGGGCACCAAGGCTCTCTAGTCCAACAACATTCATGATCCTGATGGACCATGGATGTTGCCAGAGCAGCGAGTCCCAGATTTAAGAGGTTCAACCTGTACTATCCTCAGAGATCACTTGCCTCCAACTCTGACTGACTGGAGTTGGAAATAGCTTCAGGTACATGTAAATGCTGTCCCTTCAGTCAGAGAAGGGAAATAACTATTAGAGAAGGTGTGCCTCTAAAGGAGGAGCACGCTGCCTTCTCAGCATTGTGAATAGCAACACAAGCTTCTTTACCTTGGAGGTCCTGCCATTAAACTAGAATTCCTTTAGGTTTGTGTGTGTCTCTCACCAATATTACTTTTGTCAACTTCTTAACTTTTCCACTTTTGTTTGTTCTTGCCCTCCTCCTCAAAACAGCCCAAGTGGAAGATTATTCCTATGAGGGTTGACAAGTGTTTCCTTGGCAGCACCAGAAGGAAGAAAGGAAAACAGGTCAAGTATTATACAATTATTGTTAGTTTCAATATGGATCATATATCAGTACTGGTGAGGAGGTGCTATGTGCAACAGTAGAGTTATGCTTCTTTTTAGGATTTTTATTCTATGCTATAAGGAGTGGGTTGGAAAACAGACACAGATCTCTGTACAACAATAATTTGTGATAGAGAAAGAGATGAACTATTTTAGTTTGCTAGTCACATTTCTGTTCTTAAAGGGACACAGTTAAGGTTTGTCACTATGAAATAAAATTGATTATACAATGAGTAAAACAGAAGACCAATGGCCAAGTGTTTCCAGCAACCAAATAATGCAGTGGTTTTTATTTTAAAGGCACCAGGCCGAGAGAAAGACGACCCGGGACAGCAGCCTGCAATATCTGGAGCCCTGCCCATTCTCTTACTCAAGCAGTCGTCCTCGCTTATGGTCACTCTGCAGTATTGCCGTCCCCCATGCCTGTTGCTCCCCTCTGGTCATTGCAGAGTATAATGGTTTCTATCAGACCCCTCACTTTCCATGTTATGGGAAACAACTGGATTCCACGGACATTCCCAACTCCGAGTGAGGTCATTCACCCACTCACATACCAGATCCTGATACAAAGTGAAGCTGTAGGGCATTTATTTACTATTTTCAGAAGTCAATCACTAGACCACCATGACTTCTATCACATAAGTCTTGGTGTCAGTCTCCTACTGGGTAGGCACTATATCTAGGGATAAAAATCTTTGTGCTGCCCAGGACAGGCAAATTTCTCTCTCAGGTAGCGCTGACAGGGTTTTTATAATGTGGAAGAACACTATCAGACATACTATCATAACTAGAGCTTGTTTGTTATGCACAGAGGCAGCAGTATTCTGAGACATCAATGAAGGACTGTTTCAGCTGATGAATGCACTGCGCTCTCTTTCTGCTATCTGTCCCCTGAACTGAAGATCCTTTCAAATACAAATCTGATACTCTGCATTCAAAATTTGTGGGAGTAGAAAATATGCAACTGAAGCTACATCTGCCAATGAATGAGATAGGATGATTGCACCTGGAATACTTGGGATTAGTGGTAGCTTTCAAATAGTCATATGAACTCTGAATCATTGAAGCATATTTGCCTGGAGAAGAGAACTTCCAGTAATCTCCAATAAGCATTGAATTTTTAATTGACAGACTATCTTCTGTTTACATTCTTTTGAGATTTGACCTTGTACCTAATAGTTTCCTTCTTCAGCCCTGAACTATGACTTACTTCACTAGCGCTACTTGTCTGACCTGAAGCCAAGATTTTCCAGGAACAATAACTCTTTGCTTTAGCTTTTCTGTTCAGAAACTTGATTTTAAAAACTGTTCTGGAATAGATGCACAATTTTTCCTTCTGTAAAGTGAATATTATGGCTACCATGGTGTGGGAGCACAAATAATATCAAATGGCAGTGACAGAAATTGGATGGCAGCCTTTTTCTTTTCCCATTTGCAAAAAACTGTCCAAAGATGGTAAATTAGGAGCTGACACAGGAAGCCCTTTCATTCACTCAGCATATGCAATAAAAAGCTGTAAGGACTTGCAAAATGGTTTCGTCCTATCTATATAGAACGCTAAGGCTTGCTTCATGTCCAGGGAATGTAACGCCTGCTCCTTAGGGGAGCGCTGCAGTTTGGGAAAGAAAACTGGGAGGTATGTGTCCTGGGACATATGGAAGGCCAACACCACTTTCGGGAGAAACACCGAGTGGGGGCGTAACCCGACCCTATCTCTTGAAAAGACTAAGTAGGGAGGCTCCATAGTTAGGGCATGGAGCTCCGATACCCTCCGCGCCGACATAATGGCTACTAGAAACGCCACCTTAAAGTTCAGATACTTAAGGGGGCAGGCACCCAATGGCTCAAAGGGAGACCCTATGAGCTTGGTCAGCACCAAATTAAAGTCCCACTGAGGAACAGGGACCCTGACATGGGGAAACAACTTTTCTAAACCTTTAAGGAACTGCTTAACCAGGGGGTCTGTGAATAATGAGCCGCCCTCAGAGCCGTCGTGGAAGGCTGTTAAAGCCGTCAGATGCACCCGAATCGAGAGAGCAGGCAGTCCCATGCGGTGCAAACTAAACAAATAGTCCAGGACCATAGGAACAGGGGCCCGAGAGGGGCAAACCCCCTTTTCTGCAGCCCAGACCGAGAAGCGTTTCCACTTAGCTGCAAAGGCCCTCCTGGTAGTTGGCTTCCTACTGCCCAGGAGAACCTCCCACACCACCTGCGAGCACGCCCTTTCGGGGGCCTTCAGCCATGGACAAGCCAAGCTGTCAGGTGGAGGGACTGGACATCCGGGTGATACAGGATGCCCCCTTCCCTGGCCTGCGTGATCAGGTTCCAGGTCAGTGGTAGGCAAAGTGGCCTGACCACCACCATTTCCAGCAGAATGGGAGATCAGAACTGCCTGGGCCAGTCTGGATCCACCAGAATTATTAGTAACCTGAACAGCCTGATCCTGGTGAGCACCTTGGGAACCAGGGGGAATGGCGGGAACACATGTAGCTTCCCCCGAGGCCACGGTGAAGTTAGGGAGTCTCCCTTCGAGCCCGCCCCCAAGCCCAGGATGGAGAAGTACTGCGGGCACTTCCTGTTCTCCTCAGTGGCGAACAGATCCACCTGTGGCAGCCCCACTGCCAGAAAAGTAGGGCCACGACCTTGTTCTCCAGGGACCACTCATGGACTCTGAAGGACCTGCTCAGGGAGTCTGCCAGCCACTTGCAAGCGGATGTTGTGCGCTATGCAAAACTCCCAAAGTAGGGTGGCCTCCTTGCACAGCTGGGACGAGCGGGCACCTCCCTGCTTGTTTATATTGAACACCGCGGCTGTGTTGTCCATTGGTACCAAGATCAGGGTCCCCGAGAGTAGGCCCCGGAAGAACTTGCAGGCTCTCCTGACCGCCTTCAGCTCCCACACGTTTATATGAAACAACCTCTCCTGGGGGTCCCACAGCCCATGTCCAGTACGTGAGCAAGTGCGCTCCCCAACCGTCGTCAGAGGCGTTGGTAACTAACTGAGCTGATGGCAGTTCCGTGCGGAAGGGGACCCCGGCACAAACCTCACTCTCCAACATCCACCAGTCTAACGAGGCCACAACATCCCAGAGTACAGTCAGGATCCGGACCCACCCCGCCCTGGCCGAACGACCCCACCAGCCATGCCTGAAGTGGTCTGAGTTTCAACCTGGCATGCCGAACAACGTATGTGCAGGCTGCCACGTGCCCGAGGAATCTCATACATGTCCAGGCTGTTGTCAGCGGGGAACGCTGCAGGTCGGTCACCAATCCCCTGATGGCCTGGAATCTGGATGCCAGGAGATATGCCCGCCCCCACATCCACCCCTGGCATCTAGGGTAGCCCCCACAAGTTCTATGACCTGGGTAGGAGTCAGTTTCTACTTTTCCTCGTTGATGATGAGACCAAGACAATTGAAGAGGGCTCGTGAGAGACCTATGTGGGCAATCACCTAGTCCCTTGACCTGCCCCTGATTAGCCAGTAGTCCATGTAGGGGAACACCTGAACTCTCAGCCTCCTGAGTTAAGGTGCCACCACCTCCATGCATTCCGTAAAGACCTTTGGCGCAGTCGAGAGTCCAAAGGGGAGCACTGTAAACTGGAAATGGCGGAGGGGGACCACAAACCGGAGGAACCTCCTGTGGTCTGGTCGAATAGCCACATGAAAGTACGCATCCTTTAAATTGAGGGACGCATACCAACCCCCCTACTCCAACACCAGAATGATGGAGGCTAGCATCACCATCCTGAACCTGTCCTCCTTTATATGTCTGTTTAGGTCCCTGATGTCCAGGATAGGCCGAAGCCCCCCTTTCAGCTGGGGATGATAAAGTACTGGGAGTAAACCCCCCTGCCCTCCAGATAGGAAGGGACCAACTCCACCGCTCCCTTCTCCTAAAGCGTGGTCACCTCCTGCTCGAGCAGGGCCCTGTGAGATGAGTCCCTGGAGAGGGACAGGGAGGGGGAGAGGGATGGGTGGGAACCCAAGAAGGGGATAGAGTACCCCCGGGAGATGACATCCGAAGCGTCATCCGAAGCGACGCCAACCAGGCCCGGACAAAATGGGACAACCGGGTCCCAAAGGAAGGAGAGATTCGGAGGGTCAATATGTGGTCCCCGGGTGTGCCTGCAAAATGGCTGCTTAGACCCTGCCTGCATACGGACGCGGACGCCACCGCCGAGAACGGGCGTTTGAGCCAAGTGTGACTGGAAACCCTCCCCCAGGGCCCCAAGGCCTCCGCCTCCAATAGTCAGGGCGCTGGGCCTGGGGTAGCAGTCTGGCAACAGGCCTATTTGGGAGCTGCCTACGCTGCGGAGCAGGCGTATGGGTGCCCAAGGACCTAAGCATGGACCTGGCGTCCTTGAGGCTATGGTGCCGGGAGTCAGTGTTCTCCGCAAAGAGGGACTTCCCATCGAACGTCAGGTCCTGTATGGTGGACTGCAAGTCCATCGGGATTCCCGAGACCTGCAGCCAGGCACTGCGCCTCATTACCACCCCCGAGGCCATGGTTCTAGCAGCCGAGTCCACCGCGTCAAGGGATGCCTGCAGAGACATACAGGCTATAGTTCTGCCCTCCGTGGAGAGGGCCGAAAACTCTTGCCTGTCTTCCAGGGGCAGTCGATCACAAAACCTGTCCAACGCTTGCCAGGTGTTATATGCGTACCGACTGAGCATTGCCTGCTGGTTGGCCATGCGGAGCTGTACCCCCCCCGGTGGCATATACCTTGCGTCCCATCAAGTCCACACGTTTGGAGTCCTTCGCCTTGGGAGAGGGTCCCGGCTGCAGCTGCCCCTCTTTCTGTGCAGCCACCTGCACCACAATCGAACCCGGCGCTGGGTGCGAGTGCAGGTGCTCGTGCCCCATCTGGGGAATGTAATATCTCCTCTCCCCCCGCTTAAAGATGGGGGAGATGGAGGCCGGTATCTGCCACAGCGTGTTTGTGATCTTTGCCATGGTCTTATTCAGCAGCAAAGCCAGCTTAGCCAGGGCATCCTCATGAAGGATTTCCACCATGGGGTCGGATTCGTCAGTGACCGGTTCGACATGCACCCCCAAATTGTCTGCCATATGGCGGAGCTGCTCCTGGAGAGACCTGGCGTCCATAGCTGGCATGGAAGGAGCTGGGTTCGCCAGAGCCTCATCAGGTGCTGCCGCCGCCGATAACTCTCACCCCAAGACCTGCTGCTCCGGTACAGCTGGTGCCGGGGACTGCTGCTGCAACTCCTGCGGCTGTAGCAGAGAACCCACGAGGGGTACCTCCAGGGCACCATGCCCCTGTGGATCCACCCTCATGGGCAATGGTGGGGCCTGAGACAAGGATGCTGACGGAGTGGAGCGGCTGCAAGACCCACTGGCCGGGCAAGACGAAGGGAGCGGGCCCTGCCACTGATTGTAGGCCCTCGGTGTCCAAAAGGGCCAGGGCTGTTGTACCTGTGGCGGCCATGTCTGTTCAAACCCCGAGGGTATCACTCGGTGCCAGGAGGTAGATTGGTACCGCAACTAATGGCGGGACGAACCCAGTGACCAGAGCGACTCCGCTTCAGACTCGGATGACAACTCCGAAGCTGACCAAGGCAGTGCCATGGCAGGCTAGCCCTGCAGCAGGCTAGGCCTAAAACATGCCATGGACTCAGGCTTGCCTGAATGCACGCTGGGCGACGTGTGTACCTCCTGCCCAGGAGGCACCCAGCACAGCAGCACCGACCCCAAAGCTCAAACCAGCACTGGCGGTGCCGGGAGCAGCGTCAGTCGCTGCTGTGCCACCGGTGCAGGAAATGTTGCAGCCAGGGACTGAAGCGGTGCAGGCGCTGACAGCAGCAGCAGCACTGAGGGCTGGAACGATGCCGGCACTGGGGACGGTGCCAGAGCCGCTGACGAAAGCGGTGCAGGCGCGGACAGCAGCGGCAGCACTGAGGGCTGGAACGATGCCGGCACTGGGGACGGTGCCAGAGCCGCTGTCAAAGTTGAGGCCGGTGCCGGGGCCGATGAAGGTGCACCCCATGCCAACTCAGACAGGCCACGTGTGTCCTGTGCAGGCAACGACGTTAGGTACCCCGACTCAACCGGTGTCGGCCACATGCCTGGAGACCTGGGCAATCCCAGAGCCCCTGATGCCTCCGGTGCCGAAGACAAGGTCCCCTCAGAGGAGATCGGAGAGTCAAAGTTGAGGCCGGTGCCGGGGCCGATGAAGGTGCACCCCATGCCAACTCAGACAGGCCACGTGTGTCCTGTGCAGGCAACGACGTTAGGTACCCCGACTCAACCGGTGTCGGCCACATGCCTGGAGACCTGGGCAATCCCAGAGCCCCTGATGCCTCCGGTGCCGAAGACAAGGTCCCCTCAGAGGAGATCGGAGATGGAGGCAAGGCTGTCAGCTCAATCAGTTCTTGAGCCGCCTCAAACGTCTCCAGCATGGAGGGGCGATGTGCCGGGACCAGCACCGGGCTTCTGGCCCGATGTGAAGATGTCTTCTTATGCCAATGCCCATCGCCATGCACCCTCTTCTCTGGCGATCTCCCTCTGGAGGCCTTGGACTTCTTCGGCACCAGGGACTGGGAGTGGCGCCGACTGCCAACCTCCTCAGTGCTGTGGTGAGGGGCTGGCCACCATTCTCCATGTTTGCCAGTTAACAAAGCTTGTACTATAGTGGCCCAACAGGTGACCCCCAATGGCAACTTGGACTGCTGGCCTTCCTCTACTAAAAAGAAAGAATTTCTGAGGCAAGAGTGCAGGGGTGCATGCCTACTTAAAGAAATCAGCATGTGCCTATGGCTTGGTGCTTTCTGCACAGATCCACCCTACTGCACTCTGAGAAGGTGAGCAAGCAAACCAAGCCCCGACAACTACTTGCCCCACTGCATTCTCTCCTCAACAGGAGAAACTGGCCTGTTTTTAGTATTCATTTATTTCGCCTTTGGGAGTTTGTCCCCCTAATCCTTCATAGAGCATGGAGCAAAACTGAACTCACAGACTGACTTGCAAATTTTTTAATGGTTAATGATTTCTGCTCTGGGAGAGCCCAGTCTCATTCATTGTCCCTCTCTCATTCATTGTGGACTGAATTCTAGCAAGAACAGCTCTTGAAATTTTGATACATCAAATCTGAATCCTAAGCATCTGATCAGATCCATCAGTCCAGCTCTGGTTACATTATCTAGCTGTAGGCCTAGAAGTTCATGCTTTTATAAATAAGAAAAATTTTGGCTAGAACATAGATAAGCTCTCCAGCTGTTTAAACAGCTTGCAACAAGATTTATGTAAACATAAAACTGTTAAGTTAATGGAACGTTTTCCAATGAGATCATATAAGTATTGTTTGTTTCTTCAGCAACTATTGTCACTAGTTTCTAACTATATAAAAATTGTAATACTGAACTTTATTTTATAAGACAAAATAATAGCAACACAATTTCCCAATGTAACCCAACACTGAGCTTCTTAAAACAATACATCAGCCTATAAACCTCCACTAGCTTTTTACACAGAGATACACATAAATGTGAGGGACCTTGATGCTTCAAACTATTGATATTACTCCAAAAGTTATGTTGATTTA